ATTTTCAAAAAGCGTCCCACGCCCTGAAAGACCTTCCTTGTTAGTTGCTCCCACGATTGTGAACAGAGTCATCATCTTCTACAGCATCACCTTCATGCTCCACTCTATTCGGGAAGAATCAAGGTTCCGTTAAATGTGATTTTTTTTTTCGATGAATTTAACCCACCGGAAAATTGACAGTAAAAATCTAGGGCAAAAATCCCGTGGCAACTTTTTGTACCGTTCATTGATTTTCCGAAAATGCCACTTAACGAATTTTTTCTTTTGAAATGCAATCTTTATTCATAATTCAACAACTGTTTTCTTCTTTTATTACGTTAAATGCTTGCCATACAAACGTGCTCGAAAGACAAGTTGTGCCGCCACCGCGAATGTATTGAGAAGTCTGAAACAAGACGGAATTGGTTTCGAGGGTGCCTAAGAGCCTTAAGCATTTCACATATCATGAACAATGGAATTCTCTCAGGATAAATATTCGTTCTCTGTGATTAGGTGGAAATTACTGTTCTATAGTAATCAATATTGATCACACTGTGTAGACGATTATGCAGCTTTGTGAATTTTAGCTCCAAAAAGCAACTTCATGCCCGTTCTCAAGAAAATGAGAGAGTCGGCATTATTGGAATATTATTCTACACAATACCAGGATGCTTCGTGCTGTCATCGTTGCGCAACGCGCTTTGGGAAGGACGATGCTCGGAATTCCCCTGTACACGCAAGTGCAGAAAGGAATCCTGAGTTCCGAGCTCCGTCAACGAACGAAGATCAGGGATGCCGTTGACTACGTCAAGAAATCGAAGATCAGGTGGGCCGGACACATTATGCGATATAGTGAAGACCGTTGGGCCAGGAGGGTCACTGACTGGATCCCTCGGGACATCAAACGAACTCCAGGACGGTCGCCAACGAGATGGTCAGACTTCTTCACGAAAGCTCTGAACGAAAGGAATGTTGATCCTCGTGTCTCTGGAGCGATTTAGTGGACCACTCTGGCTCGTGACAGGGACGAATGGAGACGTTACTGGCGCCCGCTCGAGGAAATCGACGATCAACGGGTGATACGGGTGATACCAGGGTAACTCCAGGTTGTTAACAAAACAGGGCTGGTCTTGCGTTCTTCACTTTACGCTGGTTAATTACAGAAGTACAGTTTCTCATTTCATTCTACCACTTCCCCCTCTGATCAATCCACTGCAATCGGCTGCAGATGGAAATGTTGCTAGGGCTCAACTCAGAAAATAGCTTGCTCATCACAATTCGAAACTAGTGTTCGAACTTTGATGGGCGATTATACTGGACTGCATTTTGACAAAAATGGCGAAAATCGAGCTGAACAAACCATTCGATTAATGTCTCCAATGCAGACCCATGGTTTGGTCGCATCCGTTGACCGTGCCATCTTGGAATGATCTTTTGTGTACTTGAACTCCATTGTCGCTCCCACCTGAGTCGCACGTCTCCTTATGTATTTTACTGGCAATGTAGGAAGCATAAGCATAACCTACTTGGATTTGAAGTGCATCGTTGGTGTGGTAAGTGAGAGAGCACTCAAGAGGCACCTGAAAGAACTATTGGTTTTAAAATGTGTTCACTTCTTCCTCCTCCCCAAATTAGAAGTGCAGTCGCATCAACGCCTCGGTTTTGCTGGATTTTGATCCTGACGCAGTGTTAATCTTTTAATGGATTGAAAAGACTTTTCCTCGGATCCGCGACGCCATGTTTCTGCGATGAGGTCTGCTTTCAAGGTTGGGGCCACAATTCCATCATAGAGGTCTGAAAGAGAAAAATCGGGACTCCTTCATGAAAGTATAAATAATTTTTACCCTTATTGAACTCGTTCGTCTTCGCGAAGGACATGAAGTTCGTTCCTGCTTTGGTGGTAAGAGTGAGTGTACTGGAGTACGGTTCACCTTGTTTGAATTCTCCAGCTATTACCTAAACGTATCAGAATTGATAAAACCGAGTTTCCCTATTTGTACAACTTGTTCTAACTCTGAAAGACTTCCATGTCATAGGTAACGTGCCTTTACTTTCACCCAACCCTTTACAGCAGTAAGGATCAAGCTGTTTATTTCTTCGACAATTCGACATTGCCTGAAGAAGTACCTACAGTGGTCGGGTCAAGATTGGGCTGGGCTTTCCATAGGACAAGACCAACAAACACATGTGAGCTCAGCGCCCCCTACAGGGGACGGAACATGCATTTGATTAGATTTCATAATAGCCCAGACGCTGGAAAAAATGATTACAGGTGCGGGATAGGTCAACAAATAAGTGAAGGAAATTCACCGGCAGTGGTTCTTACAGTGGCCACTTCTTTCCACACAAGTCCACAACTCGATTCAGTGAAAGCGTTAAGGTCAGAAAAAAATAAAAAGAGTAAGCAAGGCCTTATGCGTGCTGGGCACGCGTAAACTGAGCGAAGCTTAGCCTACAATGGATGAGACGTGCGTTGAAACGTAAGCTGCTTTATTAATAAATCTACCTCAGTTTAGAAACGCTCTAAAATACGAGCAAAAAGTGATTAGAGGTAGTAGAAGAAATGTGGTCAATTCTCCGCAGTCGGCGGGGTATCCACTGAGGGTACAAGGCTGACATCAAAAACTCCCAGCTCTGTTCATAAACGTTCTAACATTCGGAAAAAAGCGAGTAAAGGTAGTAGAAGATATGTGGTCGAATTCTGACTGGACGAGGCTTGCACTAAGGTTGGTGGGGCAAAGATTAAGAAAACTCACTAGTTTCCAAAAACGTGAGAACGTTAAAAGTTATAGAGCCCCAAGGTGGACGGGATGTGCACTTAGGTGGGGAGCTAATATAAGATCAAAATGACATTGTCGGCGTTACCAAACATCTCTATATATGAAGTCGTCATCATTAATTCATACCTATGAAATTATCAAAATCGTGCTATATGCTAAGAATCCGCTTCTGCTGTCTATCTGCCTCGAAATTCGGTAGTCCCCAATGTTGAGAGGCTCAAGTTAGTGTACGGTCGATATGATAGGATCCGATATAGTATGATATGATGAGCACGCGATCGATATAGTGGGATCCTATTCTTCATGGAATGCTTGAAACTGAATGAATTAGCAAGATGGCTTATGCAAGGGTGACTAGTGAACCTTGCAATTCATCCCGGACTAACCTTTTTTCGAGATTCGTTCTACGTGCAAGTGCAGAGTAAACCAGGAGAGACTCAAATATGAAGATAGAAAAAAGGAACAGAAAACATGTTTTGCAAAAACCATCATCCAGAAGACTGCTCCACCAGCAGGGAAGGAGGCTGGTGTTTTCTCAGCCTCTCCAGATCAAATACTATGCGTCAATGGCGGTCCATGCAGCTCGTATAAAAGTGGAGCTGACGCTAGTCTGTATGCTCACACTTTATATTAATTCACCATCAAGAACTGTTCTTGATTAGCTCTTTCCCCACCCTCACCACTTCCCTACCAGTCCTTGCACTTTGTTTATGAAATCGAACTCCGTCCCACCTCTCCTTGGTGATGAAAAAAACGGGATTTCGGCATGACGAGTAGGAACTGAGCGGAATTTTTTAAGTGACAGCGCTGCGAAAGTTACATATGCAAAGAATGCTGCACCCCATATGTTTTTTTTAAATTCTTAAAGAAGAATGTAAGTTTCAGGATGCCGTCAATCCCCTTTATCGTGCTTTTGGCCGTCATTATTGGTGGCAACATCGCCGCTTCCACTGATGTTCCAAAGATGGGCAAATGCGAGGGTCGTCAGGATCGTCCAGAGTAAGTAAAAGACATTGCATTACAATTTATTGGAGTGAAAAATAATGCCATTCTTTAGATGTCCCGCTCATATTGAAAACGGATTCTGCTCACGTGAGGGTGTCACCGAGGAACAAAAGTGGACCTTTTGTCCTTTCGGGTGTGGATTATGCAACAAAACAAAAAGTTTGCATTAATAAATTATTGACCAAACGTGACTTTATCTTCTTTTGGCTGTTTCTTTTTCGGAATGAAGACAACTTTCGACAGCGATATATACAGTGCCAAAATCAATACGCAGGGCCGATTCCGACTACACCTGACATTGTAACAGAAGCTCATACGACTTTGTTTGCCTTACTTGTTAACATGTCCCATTTCCCTTTGGATGAAATTCTGCAGATGAAATTCTGCAGAAAATGTTTATAAAAAACTACAGGTTTTACTCACTTGCAAAAATATGCACATCAGAACTAGGCTTGTGTGCCAGGCTAAAGTAATCCTTACTATATACAACGGATTCTCGCGTGTCTATCTGTCACGGAATTCGATATTATCTGAAACACTTAGAGAGGTCGGTTTAAGTTCAGAGTGGGTTGACTATGGGGTAAGTGCAACAGAGCACACACGAGCCTAGCAGGGCTTCCCTTCTCACTACCCTCCCTCTCCTCTCCCAAGGGGTGGATCGTGGGCCGGAGTTAGGCACCACAAGTGGCAAATCTTCCTAATTTGGTCTCATAACAGCCCAGACGCCAATAAAAATGAGCAAAGGTAAGGAAGGAGTCATCAATGAAGTGAGGTAGGCTCATCTTCGGTGGGAGGAGCATTCTCGCATTTGGCAGTACTTTTCGCACAAGTTCACAACTCGATTCGAGGAAGGCGTAGAGGACAGAGAAATAAATGTGTGAGCAAGGCCTTATGCGTGATGGGCATGCGTCTCCCTACCTTAAATCGATCCCTATCACTGCACTTACCCCTCTTATCAAAAGAAACATATCAAAAATTCAAAGCTAGCTCGTGAATAGTGAAGGCGTTGGGATTTAGTAAGTCGTTCCTGCTCTCTAAGGCCCCTGCCATATCTTATCAGCTGCCGTCAATTCTTGTCACACACTAAATCATTTTTTGAAATGCCAAGCTTTACTGTTAACACAAAGGGCGTTACAGACTTAGTGTCTCTCGCTTTCTACTGCTTTTTCTCAGCCTTTGCCTACCGCTTTAAATCAGTCCTTGTCATCAATATCTATGCTTCCTTCCCATCCCACGCCATCTACTAACTTGCCTATCCTCCTCTGTTGATAGCCGATGGAGACGGGCAGTAGGAACGATTTTGGTTAGTCGATACGTACGATACGGTAACCGCACGCGGCTGTCGCGGACCATTCGTTCGCCGTTATTGCAGCTCTAGTGTTCTTCATACAGCTCAATCGATACGCGGTCCCTATTTCAGGCACGATTTTACTGTTAGTTCATTTGTTCCTGTATTCCTTACCTGCTGCTCCATTCTACTGTTTCCTTCGCGCGCGGCGTTCCTCTCACCGCGACGCGACAATTTCGTGCCTACTGCAACACACCGAAAGTGTGTCATAGGTCATAGAGAGCGCATCTATGCTTCCCCATCAATTATTATCAGTCCCTTTCAGCATATATCTACAGTGCCTTCTCGACTCACACCGCTAAATAAGGTGCAAAAACTCCACCAATCACAGAAGGAGGTAAAATATCTTGTGGCTCTTCCCTTCTTATGCTCCATATCAGTTGATTTGGATTCGTCTCACTTCCTATCATATACCATCAGTGTTTCCATCCCGCCTATATACCTTCCGAACTTGTATTCTTCAAATCCGAGGCGACAGGTGTTATGAATTCCCGGTCGACCACACACACCGACAAACCAACAGACACACCGAGCGAAATAGTGGGATAATTATTATTGCAACTAGTATTTATTGTCATTTTGTACTATTAACTAGTATAGCACTCTTGGCGTCGCTATTACGTGTCGACGATACCAGAAGTAGCTTCTACAGCTGGACTAGATATTCACAAGTGCAATGCAGGTACTGAGAATACTACTACAGTCATCCACTATAAGAAGAGTCTCTTCAGTGACAACATCAAGCGCGAAAAATCATCACGCTAGAATGAGTGAAACTAAATTTCAACGCCACGAAGGGCACATGGTCGCTACAGTTAAAGATAGTAACCAATTGAGCGAGTAGGAGGAGATCACCCACCTGTGCCAACAATGGGTAGTCAGCTGCAATTTTCGTAGGTAACTGGGAAGAATAAATGTCGGGCTTGTTGTAATAAAGCTGAGTAGCTTAAATAAATAATTTTGAATCAACATAACTAGAAACAATTCTAAACATGATTCCTACAGAAAAGAAAATTGCACTTCGACTCACCTATTTTTCCAAGCTGAGAGTACGGGAAGGAAAGACACCACATCGTCTGTCCGTAATCATGTCCACTTGATGGATATTCATAATGACTCGGAGGTGGGAACTTAGGAACGCTATGAATCAGCCATACACCATCACTTCCATCAAAGAACATTGTACCTGATTAATGAGTGTTATGCCCCGTCTTTCAGTGCATTTCAGGAAAACTTTTATCAACTGCACAAAAATTGCATCAATCCATGACTGGCAGAATTTCAAGGAGAAAAGCTCCACAAAAATTTTGGTCGGCCCATCAAATTCACCTTTCGTGTGTCCAAACTGTATGGTAGCTGCATCGATCCGATTTGACGTGAGCATATCCAGTAGTGAGGATGAAGTACCGTTGTATGGCTGGAGAGTAATATTTAGTTTGTACGTTTTTCATGTAGAGTCCTTAGTTACGATAACATTTATAGATCTTCAAAGTAAAGGACTACGGTCAGATTCTCACCTCATCGTTGTACATGATATGGAATATGGTTGGATCAGTACGCTTCTCATAGAACTGGTTCAATGTGTAGGCGATAGCCTTAATAAAAAGGGCTTAGATTCGATTTTACTTGCGGAAGACAATGGGATATCAGCGAGACGGGAGATAGGGGAAGGAGATATACTTGTGGTGACTACCCTCGAGCTCACGAAGTCTAAGGAGAAGTTCGTGAAAGTTAAACATTCTAAAAATCTGATCATTACCTGGTCTTTATCATCGAGTGTTTTCTCAGATGGTAGCAGTGCCCCTTTTTTGTTGGAATCCAAGTAGTACCATGCGACGCCGGTTCCAATCCCTGGCACAGAGTTGTCCCCCTTTTCAATTGGCATTTTATAGACAGCGAACCTGAAGAAGGTCTAGTTCCATTTAAAATACTGACGATGTGTATTAAGGAACAAAGTGCACATTGACTGTTA